GGCTTCAACAGTCTTGCGGCCAGCATACTAACGAACAGCAGTAAAGGACTGCATGGGTCCAAGACTGGTCCAAGCGCACGCCATTTGCGTGCTCGACCTTTTAAAATTGGTGCGGACAAACTGGAGTGAGGATGTCTAATAAATGTGGTATGGGGGTTGTTAAACTTATGGTCCCCCTTTGGGCCGTTTGGGTCCCCTATATGACACGACCCCTGATGCTTGGGGTACCTTTCAACACATCAAGACTTGTAGAAGGAGCCGCAGTTGGTGCATTGATTGGGGCCTAGATTCCAATCAGGATTCCTTATGCCGACAGGATTCCAAGATGCTTCCGGCTTGTGCTAAAGAGGGAAAGCAGACTGGAGGCAAGGCTTCGCTTGGGGAGTTTCTTGTGGTCCTGAGTATTTCAGGCAATGGGTCTCACTACCAGGGAGTCTTGTTATGGGTGGAGTTTCAGCTTGCTTCATGATGCTTATTGGGAGTCTGAAAGCAGAGATGCCATTTCTGAATTTGACAACTCCCCCTCACCCAGCCGAAGTTATGTGTCCCTTGCCTGGAACAAGGATCGCATGCATCGAACAGTCCTGTCCATGCGATCCACTCGGCGCTTGACGCGCTCGCTGCAATGCAGGCCACGCAAGCAGGCAGAAGCCATGCGAAGCGCATCATTAATGACAATTTGGGCGAGGAAAAGTGATACCACTATGAGTCCCGGTAGACAAACCGATGCTGGACTGATGGTGACACTTGTTTGGAATCAGGTTTATAATGACAATCCACCCACCCCGAACGGCGGCGCTCTGTGAAGCCTTGCGCTTCGCTGTTGCTGGCATCCAAAGAAGCTGGAGGGTTGGGAGGTCCGCCAGCGGAGCCGGAGGGTCTAGCCCACCCCCCTTGCCTGGGCGTTTGTTTCTTGCTGTGGGATCCGCTGGTCCACTCTTACCCCCTCCCACGAGGCAGCTACTGCTGGCGGTGGCCTCCCTGTACCAACGGCTAATTCTGGACCCATCCTTCCCCACCCCGGCCATCCATCCATCCATACGTACAGTGGGTAAGCTTTTTCAAGGTTGCGGTTGGGGTTGACATGATGCTGACTAGCACAAATGATGCTGGCAAACTCGAAATCTGCTGCACGGACGGCCTTCTTTCTGGAAGACAAAACAACCCTCCATTTTCCGTTCCCTCCGCCCGAACTTTGGCTTCAGGTTTCCAGAGTCTGGGACGGGTTTAGGGGGCAGGACGCATCATGGCATCAAAATCACGTCCCAATCGTGCTGACGATGCTCGC